ATACTAAAAAGACGCTACGCGACTCACTACCACCAATTTTGTTAAAATTACTTTCCCACCCTGTGTCAAGGTGCTATCTTATTTTCCCTCTGTCAAAACTTTTTGTAAAAATTTTTTGTGTTTGGCTTGAAGTGGCTTGGCGATGTGTCCAACGATAGCCATAGCAACCGTTGTTTAAAGATGGCGGGATTCGGCGACAAACATCGCAGGGTCCCCATCACAGAGAAATTTGGCAAACAATTGTTTCACTACAATACACCCAGGTATAGCTCCACGGCTACTACTTCTAGTTAATTTTATGTTGTTGTAGCCGTTGTTTTAGAGTATGACAGAATTTGTCTAGCGTAAAGGACAGCATTTTTTTTTTAAACGGACGCTCACACTGACTGACACTGACGGACGGTAATTAAATTTTGTACGATCACCTACTAACTAACATATATGTTGTGTTCTTGGTGCACTCGACAGGCGATCATCTTCTTTAACGTACCACCTTACATATACGCGCAAACATTTTTTCCTTTTTGTGGATCAATATTTCGGTTATTCTTAACATTATCGATGATCACTTCTGTCTTTGGAGCCTTGCTTCGCAAGCGACCTATATCTGTAACGAGAGTTCGGTCTTGTCTTGAGGATTGGGAAATCCTGCCCCTTCCGGGGTTTCAACCCAGACCATCTGTCACAGGAGACAAATGAATAACCAGCTTTACCTCTACTTTCTTACCTTTATTAAATTATTTCCATGCAAGCACATTGTTATTTTACTAAGGGTTGTCTATACTTCAAACTTGTATAACTATTCTTTGTTGTGCGGTGAGCAGTGAAGTAGACTAAAGGAACTTTGTCATACCTTTGGCACATTAGGAATATGATGCTTAAGTCATATTCTTTTAAACTAGATATTTTATTATGCTTTCAGCAGCACACTGGCTTCCTTTACTTCTCACACTGGCTTCTTTTACTTCACAGGACATTTCCTGGTACCAGTTTGATCTGGACTAAAGGCCAGTTATAAAACAGGTAGCTATGTGTGGATTACAGTTAAAGATCTTCAGACGGTCGGCAAGAATCTACTATTTAGAAATGGATGTCTCCATGCTTCCACTGCATGTGTAAAAGAAATGTACATTCAAGCACACTATTAAATACTGGAAATTCAATTTTTTTAAAATTCTATCTCAAATTAAGTGAAGTTAAATGAACATCTAGCTCACAAAATGTAATGTCTCAGTCTATAACTATTGTTTAGACTTAAACAAGGTACTTCTGAAATTTATTGTGTCATCCTTAGCCATTTTTTTATTTTTTTTTTTCTAACAATTTTTGAGAATTTTGATTATAACAAGTACTTTGAAGTTTTGCCCAGATTGATTCAGGTTTATGGAATGCAATTCTGTCAGATGTTTAATCTAGGATTTACATTTTGTTTTGCTAGGGTTCCAGAATATTCTAGAGCACACCCAATAATCCCTAGACTGTATGTGCCAGAATGGAAGACTGACATGCAAAACAGAACCAGCTTTTTGGAGGTGAGTATATTAAGTTATAAAACTACATATATTATTACTGAAGAGAGCAGGGGGTATCCACTAACAGGATTTGACATGTGACATCCCATTTCTTAACTCTCAGAGTTATCCAGATACCCTTGTTCTGGCTATACTTCACTCCATTCTTTCCTGCATAGTTTTGTTCTTCTTCTTAGCTTTTATGCAAGAACTCTGCCGAAAGTTCCTTGCTTCAGGGCAGTGTTGCGGGATGCATCGCCTCGCAATCCGACTATCAAAGGAAGGTTCCTGATTAGTTGCGTATGCATAGCTTTTGGGTAGGCAGTGGGTCTATTCTTGTTTTCCCTATAATAAGGTCCCAGAACCCACATAGGGAATAGTTTTATTTAAATCATAGATGGTATCTAGTCCAGCAGCAATGGCCTCTGTCATCAAAGTTCATTTAAGGGATTGCTTGTTTCCTCAGTCCATCTGTTTCCAGTTTCAGTGGCTGTTTATGCTTTTAGGAGCACAGTATTCAGCTAATTTTTATTCTTGTGTTTCTGGATAATAGGGGCCGTCGCTGGCCAGAGGCCCAGTCACAGCTAATATTTTTTTGTTTTACAATACATTATATTGATCAGAGGGCCACTCTAGTCGCAGCAGCAATGGTCTCTGTCATCAAAGTTCGTTTATCAGGGATTGCTTTTTTGATTCCTCAGTCGATTAGAGCTGAGCATCTGAGAAGAAACAGACTAAACACAAATGTTGACATCAACGGTCCTGAAATCCCATACTATAACTGGAAAACTTTTCCTAACATGGGAGGGTCTTGCTAGTCGCACTCGCCATCGCCATGCACTGTGAGTCCCATGCCTCCCCATAGAGCAATATAATGTCGTCTGGAAAGCTAATGTATCTCTTGAGGTTAAAAAAAAAAACTTTGAGAAAGCCACTTTCAAAATGGCTAAATGCATATTGGAGGTGATTAATGGCGAAGCTACAATTATGTAATATGATTTAACAAAATGTAATAGTTTAGAGAAGGCATTTGTGTTGAGAATAACAGTGATTACTATGAGCTTCTACGGAAAACTGATGGAAAACAGAATATGACTAGAAAGCCTAATGAATGAAAAGATTCATGAAGAAATAGGTTAACACACGCACGCACAATCCCCCAGAAAAAAAAAACCCAGTCACAATGAAAATATATTGAACACTAAGGGCACTTAGGACTTTAAGAAACGATGTCCATAAAGTTGATTCTCCATGTTTGGAAACAGCAAGAAATCAGTGGATACCAAATCTTGTATGATGAATGTCATTTTTATGACAAAAAGGACTGGAATACTGAACTAACAGCATGGTTTTAAACCTTTGTGAAGGAGCTCTACAGTCAGAGCATCGCAAAGTTTAATAAGAGATGAGAGAAATGCCTCACACTGAGGAGAGAATACACAGAAGATGGTTACAGTAGACAACAGTTGGCAAGTGCTATAACTTGATTCCTTCATACCAAAGTAAACAACTGTATGACTACTTCTTGTCTACAAGCTGTTCTCCATTTTGTTTTTCCAGGTCTGATAATATGGTGAACTTTATAGGTAGACAACAAATCAAATGGTTTGTCCATGTAACAGGATTGGCATCAGACAGGGCATCACAAAGAGCAGTGTTATACAAATACAGCAATAATAGAACCAGAGGTCAACCATGCAGAATATGGACTCAAGAAATATCACTGAAAAATACTTTAATACAAAGTGAACACAATGGCCTTTTCCAGAGATCTTTTCCTGCCTTGACACCATGAGGCATTCCAGAAGTAGATAAAAGAAGAAGAAGAAGAAGAAGACGATGCAGGCATGTTTGGGAGTTGAGTTGAGTTGAATCAAGAATTGACATCACAGAACTTAAGGCATTCCTGTGCGTAATCCCTCCATATCTTCAGCAACCAGCGCAGCGTTCCAATACTGATGGTACCGGTCACAATCTGACTGTATGTCAGACTTGCCTTTCCTCTGAGTGTAATGAGCTGGCCAGACCCTCTGGCTACACCCAGGGTATGTTTGGTACTGATGGTACCGGTCACAATCTGACTGTATGTCAGTCTTGCCTTTCCTCTGAGTGTAATGAGCTGGCCAGACCCTCTGGCTACACCCAGGGTATGTTTGGTACTGATGGTACCGGTCACAATCTGACTGTATGTCAGTCTTGCCTTTCCTCTGAGTGTAATGAGCTGGCCAGACCCTCTGGCTACACCCAGGGTATGTTTGGTACTGATGGTACCGGTCACAATCTGACTGTATGTCAGAGTTGCCTTTCCTCTGAGTGTAATGAGCTGGCCAGACCCTCTGGCTACACCCAGGGTATGTTTGGTACTGATGGTACCGGTCACAATCTGACTGTATGTCAGTCTTGCCTTTCCTCTGAGTGTAATGAGCTGGCCAGACCCTCTGGCTACACCCAGGGTATGTTTGGTACTGATGGTACCGGTCACAATCTGACTGTATGTCAGTCTTGCCTTTCCTCTGAGTGTAATGAGCTGGCCAGACCCTCTGGCTACACCCAGGGTATGTTTGGTACTGATGGTACCGGTCACAATCTGACTGTATGTCAGTCTTGCCTTTTTCCTCTGAGTGTAATGAGCTGGCCAGACCCTCTGGCTACACCCAGGGTATGTTTGGTACTGATGGTACACGGTCACAATCTGACTGTATGTCAGTCTTGCCTTTCCTCTGAGTGTAATGAGCTGGCCAGACCCTCTGGCTACACCCAGGGTATGTTTGGTACTGATGGTACCGGTCACAATATGACTGTATGTCAGTCTTGCCTTTCCTCTGAGTGTAATGAGCTGGCCAGACCCTCTGGCTACACCCAGGGTATGTTTGGTACTGATGGTACCGGTCACAATCTGACTGTATGTCAGTCTTGCCTTTCCTCTGAGTGTAATGAGCTGGCCAGACCCTCTGGCTACACCCAGGGTATGTTTGGTACTGATGGTACCGGTCACAATCTGACTGTATGTCAGTCTTGCCTTTCCTCTGAGTGTAATGAGCTGGGCCAGACCCTCTGGCTACACCCAGGGTATGTTTGGTACTGATGGTACCGGTCACAATCTGACTGTATGTCAGTCTTGCCTTTCCTCTGAGTGTAATGAGCCGGCCAGACCCTCTGGTTACACCCAGGGTATGTTTGGTAACGAGCAGTCACATAGGTTGACTGGCATGCTGCCACTTAGAAGTGTACTGCAACTCCACAATACAGGGGTAATCTCTCACCTTTACTTTGTAACTTGTGCTCCAGGACTGCACAGAACAGGACACATTAAGACAAACTTTTTAGCCAGAAACAATAATAGTGGAGCATAAACTCTATGGACCAACTGAATAAACTAAAAAAACAACAGTGAAATTTATAGGAGATAAAATTTCTGATACAGACAACTTATTTCAGGTGAATGAAAGAAGAAGAAAAATTGATCTATAAAAAATATGAGTCTTGCACAATATGCCTAATGTGCTACTGGAGTGAATAGGCTCGTTTTACTACTTTACTCACTGAATACTTTTATAACAATTACAGAATGCACATCTAGGGAACATCCCAACCTTTGAGCATGACGAGAACCTCTTCCTGGAAAAACGAGAACAAATGCACTACAATGTTGAAAACTGGACAAGAGTTAGTGAGAAAATCTATGTGCCTCCAAGAGCCGAGCTACTACGTCCAGATTTTCACCATGAAACATCCAGATATCAGAGTGAACTCATGATGAGGAGAGATGAGAATGCTGTTTGAATGTTAGTTACATCTTTCAATCCCAAGCAACTCATTCTGTGTGATCGGCAATTTATCATGAATTGCAGGCATAACATTTTTAAAAAAAATAGTTTTTCACTCTAGAATTTCAGTCTGTAGAATTAACAGCTCAAGGATGAGAATCAGACAGGCACCAATCTCAGAAACCCTTTTAAACCTTATAGCCATAACGCAGTTATATTGGGGCACAACAACATGATTACAAAGGAACCTATAGACCAGTATAAGTGGGTTCAAACGTGACCATGAAAAACATAAAATTCTCTACATTTGGATCATAATTCTAAAGAAATCTGGCTTTTAAGTGATATATTTCTGTTTAGCTCCCTAGAGGTCTATTATGTTTTTAAAATTACTTCTTTGTTTTCCCTATCCTTGATCATGATCTGAATTTTCTTGTTCCCTCCTAAATGGGTCTATGGAATCTACATGGGAAAAACCTTAATCAGTCTAAGAACGCAGTGTCACTCTTGTGGTTTTGTTTTCCTGTAACTGTTACAGTGATCTTAAAAATAAGCTCATGCATCTTTGTAGACAATTGTGATTACTTTCCTCTGGTATTTATCAATGTGGAACATTCAAGAAGGTCAGTATTTGAATACTGGAGTGTGTGGCCCATGATTAGATTTGGTGTCTGAGGGTTATTGAAAAAGAAATGGTGCTGTCTCCAAACTGGAGGTTGGCTGCAACATAACCACTGCTAACTATAGTATTATTACATGGTAAGACTGAAGCCTCTTACACAGTGTGACTCTCATACCTCTGTCCGAAAGCCATTATACAGACATATTCTAAAGAACCAACTGTGGGAATTCAGCCCTGGTAAATGGAGAGGACTGTTTGTGAAATGATTTCACTCACCTCAAAGTCAAATAGCTGCACAGAAAGGTTTGTAAAGCATCAGATTATTGCACACAGATACCTTCAGAAGCATTCTGGTTTCCTCCCTTAGATTTCAGCACAGTGCACACTCATGCCAGCACTGGTTGGATAGTCGTACATGTATGCCAGAATCCACACATCATAACAGACATTGGCGACCAGGTCGCCCATTGGCTGGTCAGTAGACAACTTTGTCGTTGATCTGGACAGAATTTGGGTCTGTCTCCTTTGATTGCAACAACACTGCTTGAGTTTTTTTTCAGCACTGTTAGTGGCATGCAATGTTAAACCATTTTACATGGCGCACATAACCTAGTCACAATTATAACCTAAAGCTCCTCTTCACGGATGCTGGTTGAATGTGACAGTTTGGTTGTTATTGAGCAAAGCAAGCTAGCAAAATTGTAACATTCTTAGCAGGTAGCCAATCACTCTTTCTAAAAGAACAAGATGGCGAGATAGGACTCGGTGCAGTTAAGTTGATCCTCTCACCTGTTAAAATCACCTTTTCAGCATTTAATCACCTTTTTCAACATTTAATCACCTTTTTCAGCATTCAGTCACCTGGAAGACAAAGCTGTCATTTGTCCTGCCAATGTATACAAAGTAACACATTTACGGCACATCTGCTGATGGTTAAACATAAACTGTAGCATAAATGAAGCTGTGTTTTAATGATGTGATCTTTGTTTTGAATATTAAACAGTCAAGCAATGACACCATCTGTTGTTTAGTAGTCACATTTACTATGTATGTCAAGTGAATTTTCTGTTTGCAAATTAGTCTTATTTCCAATACTTGTTTGCCACAGTAATATGTGTGTGTGTATGTGTGTGCAAAAAAAATTAACTAAATTTTTTTTTAAAATGACCTTGACTCCCAGGTCGACCTAGCATTGAGTGGGTACCGGGTGCAGTCCTGGGAAATATAGATGGCCGGCGTGATACTGACCACATCACCCATCCTGTGCTAATTGGTCTATAAAATATAGGTCTAGCCCTATATGCCCTACATGCCTAAAGGCATAGAAAAGGGGCCTTTACTTTACTTATGTAAAACAGATGTGCACGTAAAACTCAAGTTCTGGAACAAGACTAAAGTCCAGAAATGGACAAGCAACCAATAGTTTTCACCGGAGTTTACAACTGTTTAACATAAAGAAGATTCATAAACCAATGTCAGTTGAAGTATGTTTACATTTTAGTTACTTTATCAATTTACAAAACTGTAGGATTGAGTGTTCAACAAATTTTTGTGCAATTGCACAAATTACCACTAAAGTGCACTGCCTGGAGCAAATAATGAAGAAATAGTTGAATGTTTATTTTTCTCAAGGACTGGGAGATAATCCATGATTCATATCCGTATGTTGCTGCAGGGAAGACACATGCTCTCAAAATTCTAATTTTAACCAGCAAGGAGATCAAAATTAGAATTTTGAGAGCATGCATCTTCCCTGTAGCAACATACGGATGTGAGTCATGGATTATCTCCCAGTCCTTAAGAAAGAAAATAGGGGCTTTTGAGCTAAAATGATATAGAAAGATTCTCAGAATATTTTGGACAAAGAAAAGGAGAAATACTGACATCTTGAAAGATCTGAACATCAATAAAAACTGGCTAATAAACAACATTCTGTCTCGGAAGCTGAAATATTTTGGTCAAAACAAGCGCCACAGCGGATTGGAAAAAATATAGCAGAAGGCATGGTACCAGGAAGGAAGGGCAGGGGCCGACCAACACGAAGATGGGCAAAGGATATAAGTGACTCCTTGAGTATGAAAGTACATGAGAGCGATGTTCTGCAAAGTACCTGCTACATGATGATGATGAATTGAATGTTTTTGTTACTGTTCCTTTGAGTCAAGCGTGAGAGGTAGTTTCAACAGGATGGAATGACAACTCACAAAGTCAGGGCCACAGTCGAACTGCTTTTGAAAATTTTTGATGGAACAATTTTCCAATGCTTTTTTCTTCCCAGCAATGCTTCCTTGTATTCTGAAACATGAAATATTTTTTTTTTATAGGAAAATGTTTGAGCAATAGGGATGGTACACAGCTTTTACATCTGATGTTGAGCAGAAGAAAAGATATTTAAAACTTTTCCAAGAAACTTTAAACATAGGCCACGAGAACTGCATTCTAATAAAGAGGCAACAATCGCAGAATTAGTTATAAATCAGTAATGGCGAAGACTTTTGTGAAATAATTCTCTAAATAGTTGAAGGATAATGGATACAATCTTAAGAGAGGAGCAAGCTGGTTATGGACATGGTAGACGCTGCTTAGATCAGATAATTTCTTTGATATACATTTTAGAGGAATTCAAAAGAACAAAGCAAAAATAACCTTGTTATCGAATTTCACTGAATTTAAGAGCAAGTGAAGTTCATGGGCATTTACAGTACGTTCAAGGGAAAAAACCATCATGGAGATGAATGGCGCTTTTGCTGTTACAACTAGCAGCCTTACAATGGAAACTATGGCTGTAACAAGAGCATTGGCATGGCTTGGTACTCACAAGTTCACACACGTATACTTTCTTAGTGACTCAATAAATATACTTCCAAAAATCCAAGCTGGTTATATCAAGCAAGAATGGATTGCAACACTAAGCACTTCACGAATATCTTCCCTAACCTTCATCTTTGTGCCAGGTGGTACGGGTTATAGTTATAGTTATAGTTAGTTAGTTGGGTTATCATCATTGCACTCCGGACATGTCCATAGGTGCTCAGATCCTCCCCTCAGTATGAACCCCAACGTCTGATAGCTAATAGTGCCAGTTCTATGTTGATTAACAAGTCTTCTGGCGTGTCTGGTGTACGTCTCGTTTTTTGCTGTGCCGATCTTAGTTCCCAAGTCTGCCAAACTGGCGAGTGATGTGGATTCACTGCCCCCAAAGTCCTCTATCCTTACCATGGTACGGTGGTACGGGTGTTCAAGGGAACGAGGGTGTAGACTATCTTGATGACACTGCTGTTGATATGACTGGTCCAGTACTGAACAAAAGTGATGTTAACAATGCCATGCACTGTACTTACCGTACCGAGGAGCACGCCAAAAGACATGACTCAGTATCCCCGTCTAGACTGATGGACATAGGTGTGCAGCCTGGAGCTGCAAGAAATGAACATTTCACTAAGGGAACAAGACGTTTCATTAACCAACACAGAACAGGCGTCATCAGTCGTTTTACACTTGTGGAGCTTTTGAGGAGGAGATCTAAGCACCTATGGATCTGTCCGGAGTGCTGTGATGATAATCCTATATAATCACTAATCACTGAATTTAAGAAGGCTGTTAATGGCTTACATCCGTGTTTTTTCAATTGTTTGTGATCCACAACCCCCTTTTCAGTTTAAAAAACAAACAAACCGTCAGCCACCCCCCCCCCCCGCACCCCACCCAATCTCCAAGGAAATATCATCATGTACCATGCTAATATGCAAATGAGATCATGATTTGCCATTCTACACAATCAGAGGAATCACGAATGAAGTTACTGCTCTTGTCCTACCCCATGATGCACAAGCTATCAAGGTGTTTATCTCTTGGCTTCCCTTGCCCTCTTTTAGTCAATCCTGCCAGTTGTCTCCCCTCTTTCAATCAGTCCTTTGTTGTATTGTCCCCACACAGTTCTCGATTTTCTATCTTTGTTTTTGCCTATTAAAATATAGTTTGTTTTCTCTTTAATCGAAAACACAAATGCTTGGATGCCTTCGTGTTCAGCTACCTTTCCATTTGTAGGAATACCTTAGTGGGCCGGAATCCATCACCGGACGGTTCTTGTAAACAACATTCTGATGTTTTCAGAGAGGTCCAATCTTGGAGAAATTAATACACGACGCTGATGTAATTGCTTCAGGAGACCCGATTAAACACAGAGGAAGTTCTGAAAGTTTCAGGTTTCCAAACTTATCACAACAGCAGACACCTGGGTCAGGCGATCATAGTCAGGTGTGGGACACGAGTGCTTGGAGCAGCAACGACATTCAGGTACAGGCAGTGAAGGTAGACGGAAGTAAACTTTTCATTTGAGTCAACATCTATGCCTGCAATAATAAAGTAGACCAAGAGAAGTGGAGGGTCCTAAC